GGTATGGAGGTTGGTGAAAGTCATTGGTGCTCTGAGATGGAGTACCGCTAAAGGCGTGAAGTTATGTCATCGGAATTCAGCGCAGCATGGAGACTTGCTCCTGTCCGCAACCATTCCGTAGCCGTTAAAATTCTCTTTTGGAAGGGAATCTTTTGGACGTCAAGTTTGGACGATATTTATCCCCTGCGTGTGTTGCTACCAAAACCCGCAGCAGTCACATGCTCCTCATTCCCGGCGACGTTCCATGAAAAATACTGCCAAAGAAATTGTAGGTTCGGGTATTTAAATTGCTCGAGCACTGTACGGAGAAATCTGGTGTAAGTGATGTTAGTAGGGTGCTCCTCACATATCACAGGCACCGATACCATGTCTTTTTGTCTTAGGCTTCATATTGCAAGTTATAATGGCACCATCTCCGTGCTACGCGAGTTCTTTTTTCAGAAGTTGCGAAAATAATTTTTTTTTTCTCGCGGATAGTACTCAAAACTAGTACGACGCCTACTGCTTGTCGGTATGGCGAGCAATGATCTCTAACCTCAGATTTTACTTTCCACGCTGGTTCGGTCTTAAGAGCAGCAAAGGCGTCGGAAAGTACTTGTTGAATGGAAATTTGGAAGGACCAGCACCAGGAAATGAAGGTGATTGTTCAAAAGTGCATATGTACTGCCATACGGGGACAGTCTCCTTCTTTGCTGTAAAGGGCTTGCAAAACAGAAGTGCTGTCTTTTCGACGTTCTAACATCGAACTCAATATAATTAAGACGAAAAATTGGGATTTAAAAAAAGTGTCTGAAAAAAGTATCATTGCTCGAACTTCCAACTGAAATATTGCTCCTCTTTTCTGTTCTTGCAGCAGCATAACTGTGAGGTGAGAGTGAGGTACGGCTGCCGGTTTTTTGCTCTGGTGTGGCGTTGAAAAGTATCAGATGTCAGGGATAATATGCTGAATTGCATGAAGCTGCAAGAACCGTTGAGAACCACTGAATATAATGAAATATTAGCATCGGAGGTAAGAGAAAACGAATCTTCAGATTCGTGGATGTTATTTTTAGGAACAAAAGTAAGCAAGAGTTGCAGATTTGATGAGAGGACAAATCTGAGTATTTACAGTTCTCTCTTCCCTCACTTTGGCGACCAATAATCTTGTTTTTTGTAATTGCCATCAGTCGAAGTGCAAGATTGCTGTTGGGCGCAAGCGTAAAGATAATATTCACTGGTTTATGTTGGATATGCCTTCTGCACAGTTGGGAGATCGGTTGTTGTTGGAAGAAATGATTGGATATTTGTACTCTGCCTGCAATCAATGAATTTTTCCTGTGGCAACATTTTAGGGGGGTTTTTTGCTTCATCCTAGCGCAGCAGTTCGCCGGCGATTATTGAGTGGACTTGAGCTAGCTCGGCGAGACATCTGTCTCGCTGTAAGTAAGCACCATTACATGTTTATTTGCGCAGCTGGCTGCAAATAAACATTTAACAGGAGTTATATGTTCTGAAGCTTAAGCTTTGTTGCTGACCCGATTACGGTTGAAGAATGAGGGAAGTTCCTGTTCAGGATGGGGCTATGCCTTTTTCAGCACTGGTGCAATGGAGATACCAAGCCTCATCAAAAGTTGAATGTGAGAGGAATTACTGCTGATCATCATCAAAGAAGTGTGATCCTGAGGAGCAGTTGCTGCTCAAATCGGGATGGAGCATCGTTGCAGGTGTTAGTTGGCTGTTTCGTTTTGCCTTTTAGTTCCTTCGTGTTGCCGGCGAGCAGCGTACTGCTGCTCCATTCTTCGCATAGAATGAGCGTTTCCTGCTGCTTTTCCTCTAGCTACTACC